GTAACTCACCATGATGACAGTTTACAAGCATTGCATTTAAGATGATTATTCCCATTGTAGACAGCCATCTTTACTCCAGAAAGGGGCGGTTTTTCTTTAACTCCCTAGACCTTTTGGTCAGGGTTTCGCAAGCTTCATCTGCAAAGTCACCAGAGGAACTTACTAAGACGCAGTGCTGGTCCCACTCCCATGGTTTCTGATTCAGTGGGTTTCAGAAGGTGCCAGAATATTGGCACCTCAAACAAGCTCCCAGGTAATACTGAAGCTGCGGGCCTCGGGACAGTACCTGAGGACCACTGCTCTAGGACCCACTATTATTAGAGTTTGTTAGAAGGGGTTTCAGAGTGTGGACCCTGGACCATCCTGGTAAAACTCAAGCTTGTCAAGCAGTTCTGATAGCGCAGTAAGTTAAATGTTGGGTTGCTAACTGAAAGGTGGACTGTTGGAACCCATTAGTCACTCCACGGTGGAAAGATGTGGCGGTCCATGGCCATAAAGACATCCAGCCTCGGGAACCCTATGGAGCAGTTCCACTCTGTGCTGTAGGATCAATGTGAGCCAGAATTGATTCCCTGTGTGTGGAGGGGAAGGCCTGGGAATTCTGAATTCAGTGAGCGAATCAATCTGACCTCAGTTTGGGAGAAAGTGCCTCGTGTCTGAGAAAAACCAAGTGGCGAAAACATTAGTCAGTATTTGAGTCAGGATTCCAGCCATCTGTCCTAGCCCTCCCTGGGAACAGCCAACAGCCCTCCCTGGGCACGGAGCCAACAGCCAAGGGGCGGCCCGACAGGTCTGAACTCTGTTGTTGCCGGTAAACGGAATCACGCTCACATACTTCAAAAGGTATTGGAAGATCAAATGCAATCATAAGAGAAAGAAGTTACAGACTGTAAGATGTCATAAAATGCTCATTGGTTTGATTCTGCCTCTTCTGTACCAAACAGCACAGAACTCAGTAACGCTACCGGATCAACAAGAGAAGGGAAGTGTAGCCCAGGACCAAAACGTGCATCGCTGGGAGACAGGAAACCACAGGAGCTAACCATATGCTCCTTGGAGTCAGAAGTCCTGAATTCCTTTCCAGGATGAGCTGAGTGACTTTGGTCAAGTTACTGAACCTCTCTGTGCCTCTTTACTTATTATGGTGCTGTGGACTAATGCGTCAGACTACAAAGTCGTTAGAACTGCAAGGTCGGTGGTTCAAGCTCACCAGCTACTCCTTGGAAACCCTATACAGGGTTGCTATGGGTTGGAATTGACTCGATGGCTCTTAACAACAACATACTTGGTATGAAAACTGTTGTACTTGTCATGGGTTTGTGTTTTGGAGATTAAATGAGATCATGCAATGAATGTTTGTTGAATAGAAGGTATTACTCTAGGCCAATATTAAGGACCATACATATTAGCTATTATTGCTACTGGTAAATATAATTATGTCTGTGTTCCACAGTGAATTTTTTTAAGAAAGTGTTGATTTATTTCAACATTAATTAAAAATAGACTAGGAGGATCACGTATGAGAGAAAGATGAGGTTTTCTGCTCCCGCAAAGATTTACAGTCTTGGAAAACCTATACAATAGGGTTGCTATGAGTCGGAACTGACTCGACAGCACTTAACAACATTATTTTCCAAAAAA